TTAAATGACTTTCCCAAAGCCACGTAACTCCTAGGTAAAAGAGTCAATGTTGCTACAGAAGACTAGCTGTGCTCTTAAATATCACCCTCTACTGCCTTTCTAATGGCCTCTTGGAGCCCTTCAAGCTCTACTGTGTGGGCATTCAAGGATTGGAGGTAAGATTAATGGGAGTGTTACATCTTACCTGACCAATGGGCATCAGGCTCTGGCCCAACTCCTCTTGCTGTCTTGTGAGTCGAACCTCTCACCTTACAGAGAGTAGCACTGAGGACCAGAGAAAGAAATAAATTTGCTCAAGGTCTTTAGTAGCAGGGCTGCTCCCAACCCAGTATACCTTCTAATACCCCACAAGGCTGTCTTCCCTCACATGTCCCTCTGTCAGCTATTTACACAGAATCAAGGGGTCAGGCAATCCTCAGATGGAGGTGCTTCAGTTCTTCAGCCTCTTTGCTTAAATTTCAAGCCAGTTTTACAGCTTTAACATCTATGATATTTTCTTGTTATTTGTGTTCTTTTCCCCCACCCAACACACACGAAACAATTACGTTCTAAAATTGTGCATCCTTTTACGTGACAGAAAACCTAGAGTTGGGGACCAGCTGCTGGTAACTAACTGGAATTTTCTGGATTTTTCTCAAAGCCTAGGGCAAGGTAATACCAACAGGTAGTTAAGCCTACAGGTTCCCAGGCTCTATACAGGGGCTTTTTATGACTAGGAACAACCGTATATGAAGGGATAATGTGAACAATAACCCCTGCATTTATGGTTCAGGACGTCTCCAAATGTCTGATCCCCGAAATGCTACCATTAAGTTTCACATTACTTCTGCTGCTGCTCTGCTTTTAAAATGCCAATCTCTCTGGAGAGTGAAAGGGTTGCTCAGGTCTCAGAAGCCTCAGTGTATCTTCTGACAGTTTGGGCAGGCAGCATAAGGAGTCTGGGGTTGAAAGGCCACATAATAGTGAAGCAAGCATGTCAAAGACTAACTGTGTTTACTCTTTGTGTTTTGCCAAAGGACCTTAAAAGCCATCTGGTCCAACCCTCTCCTCCCCTCACTCCTCAGTCACTATTGCTAGCATCACTACCTAATGTTTACATCTTCCCTGTGACATCCACATATAGAAAAGATAACATTGAGTTGCACACTTCCAGTGACAGGTACCTCATTACCCTTGTGGCATCATTAGAAATGCTGTCTTTTTGTGGAGCTTAAACTTGTTAACCTGTAGCTTTCAGATACTTATATAGAGTATTCAATAAATACTTGTTTCCTCTCACTTTCCCTTCTACACATTGGAGGCACACAGACCCAACAGGGTGCTCCTTCTTTCCCATATCAGCTTTCCTTAAGCTGAAAGCCACATCTCTCTGAATTTTCAGTTTTGAAGCTATACAGTGTCATCTCCTTCAATCTCCACCTTACCTATCTGACCACACTTCTGGCTTATTTAGGACCTCTTTCACATGTGGGGCCAGACATTTTTCTTATCTTTCATGCTCCCACTTTCTCCTTCATAGGACACTCACTGACTAATTTGCACATAAACATCTAAACACCATGGGAAACATCTGATGTGGGCAACCTAAAATAGTAAATATTGATAGGTACACTGATGCCTGGAGAGGAGAAAAATCATTGCTTATTAAAACAGTTTTCATTTGGCCAGTATATTTCCTTATAAACAATGTTTCTAAAAGTTCGGTCTGGACCACCTCAGTCAGAACCACAAGAAACTGAACCTCTGGGAGTTGGAACCGAGGCATCTACATATTTAACAATCATGCTGAGTGATTCTGAGGCACACTGGAGTTTGAGAACTAGGGCTTAAGAATCAGATAGCATTTCACCAATGTTGTTTTTCATTCTTTGAACATTTGTTGCTAATTAGAAACCAAGGCTCCTTCACCAAGCCTCATTAATCAACACCTTGTACAGCCTGACGTACCTCCCTGGCCTGAGCCCAGACAGCCCAAATAACCTTGAAGCAGTTTAAGATTCTTTACTTAAAGAAAAAAAGTTCTAGGGAACATTATCCAAATATCTAGACCTAGGTTTTGGGAAGCCACTATTTCAAACATATAACCAGACCTGAGAACTGCTATTCCTTCTCTGCATTATCAGTCAGAACACATTCCTTCTTCATGAGACATCTTCCTTTCTCAAAATCAAATTTCAAAAGCACAGCACAAAAGCATAAGTGTCAACCTAAATGTTCCTGCCTTGCTTCTTTAGATTATCTGTCTTGTTTTTCTGCCCACTTCTCCATCTTCTTCCTTTCCTTAATAGGCTTAATTCTACACTTCAACTCTTCTTACAATTCTTTTCTGCTGTCACTCTCCTGACAAAAGCATTCAGTGCAGCAGCAGCCTTGCAATGTTTTAACCCTCAAAACATAGACAATGGCTCTCTTTGGTGTGCAAGCAAATTAGATACACGTTTACCTATCATTCTTTGGGTTATGTGAATCGTATGCTTTAGATACTGTTATCCTGCCAATCTATAAGGCTGGCACCAACAGACCACATCACCATAGAGGGATTGAGAGGAAGAAAAGGGAGGGGGGATAACTTCCTGTGCCATGAATCTATGAATCATCCCAGAAAGCATCAAAGGTGGGGGAAACCTAGGAACTTAAGCCTCTCATAGGGAGAGAAATAGGAAGTAAATAGGCGTTGTGCCAAGCACCGTCCAAAGCTTCTGTTCTTTAAAGCTTTAAATTACCTGGTCTTCTTGGGGTTCAACAACTGTCCTTTTCTCCATCTTTAAGTCTAAATCTGAGCTAGGGTTGAGAAACAAGGACCTTGAGTCATTTGAGAAGTTTCAAAAGTGAAGTAGAAGTCTGTTCTTGCTGTTCTTGCTCATGGTAGGCCACTACCATGTATCAAGGGATAAGATAGTGCCTGCCCTTGTTGTTGGAAGGGACCTGAGATGGAGAAAACCCAAGCAAATGACTGAAGAGCAATGACAGTCCACCTGGGGACAGGGAAGTGTTAGTTAGCTAGAGAGAAAGCAACTGAGACTCAGGAAAACCTTTCTTTTGCTGTGCTTACTACATTTGTATAATCAGAAACCAGAAATTGATATTCTCCCAACAGGTTATTGTGTTGGTGATCCCTCAGATGTGAAAAACTTACTATTGCTATATAAAAGAAAAGTATACTTTGAAAGTCTGACTGCGTTATGCATACTGCCTGCCCATAGGCATGTTTGGTACTCTAGAAGTTTCTAGCTTCTGTATATATAAGCTGTGTTATATTCAGACAATGGACTACTGTATAACAATGTAAGTAAAAAAACTATAACTACAAACAACTCTAGCCTCTCACACTTGAATGTATGGTAAATAATATGTAGATCTTTCTAAAATACAGGTTCTGATTCTGGTCTGGAGTGGGACCTCAGATTCTTCATTTCCAACAAGTTACCAGATGATGCTAATGTTGCTGATCTGAGGACCAAAATTTGAGAAGCAAGAGGCTAGAACACCTCTCAGCAAAAACAGAAAGATCTCACCCCTTTCTTGCATCGGCATGCTCTGTAGCACTCCCAAGACCCATGTGTCTAGGATACTCTTCTCAAATTATTCCTCTGATCCTCATAAAGAGTTGCCTTCAGATTCAGAGAAGTCTCTTGCAGGCCAGAAGGCTTATAGCCAGGCTTATCTTCTGTGAAAATCCATTGGTAACTCCTTGAAAAGTAATGAATCACTGAAAGTAGAATTTCAGGCATCTAGGAAAGAAATTTAGGGGCAAGGAACTCTCCTGGCACCTGTAAAACCACATCACAGAGACAGCCACTGACTTTCCCTCCACTGTACTTGCCTGCCTCTTCCTCATCTTCTGCCCACTGCCTCTTCTCCTTTCTAGGGAGAAGGAAAAGCCCTTCTTTGCTGCACATAATCTCCAAGATATTACTTTGCTGACCTTGGGCTAGTGAGTGATTATTTTGTCCAACACATCTTTAGTGGGCACCCACTGGATACCAGGCGTGTTCAGGAACTAAGATACAGGGGAAAACAAGTCAGACAAGGACTCTTTCTTCATGAATCCCTTAAACAGTTCACATTCTAGTGAAAAAAGACAGACAAGAAACAAATATTCAACATGCTGGGTGCTGGCAAGTACTCTAAAAATGAAGTGGAGTAAGAGGCCAGAATGATGAGGGTTATTATTTGAGATATCAGGAAAAATATCTCTGCCATGTGATACTGGAGCAGAGACCCGAATGAAATGAGAGTGAGCCATCAGGCTAAGGGGAATAGTGTTTTAGGCTGAAGAAACCACAAGAGCAGAGGCCTTGAGGTAGAAGTAAGCTTGGTATATTTGAGAGATGACAGCAGTTTGTAACAAACAGATTGATTGTAGAGGTGGTAAGAAGTGGTCACATTACGGACATATTTTTACTTCTCTTTGTGGCCTCCATAGAGAAATGATAATAATATCTATTTCTCAGGGTCACACACACATGTCATAGAGTATTGAGCCTAGCCTGAAACACAGGGATTAAATAATGTCAGTTACTTACATCCACCCTCACTTTCCTCAATCACTCTTAATTAATCTAACAGGTGACAGTTTGTTCAAAATAATAATAGCAGGTATGTGTTCAGGAACTGGAGCTTATAGATAAATAAAATGAATGACATCAGTGTTATAAGGGACTGAAGGGAGGAATTAGAAATAATCTGTATCTTTACTACATGGGAAGTGATACATATTGGAAAGAGGACTTGGAATACTTTTTTTTTTCCTTTTTTACTTTAGGATGTACAATTTATTGACTCCTGTTGTGCTATCAAATACTACATTTTATTCATTTTTAACTATTTTTGAACACATTGACCATCCCTACTTTCCCCTTGTTCCCACACTGCCCTTCCAAGCCTCTGTTAAGAATCTTCCTACTCTCAATCTCCTTGAGTTCAATTGTTTTAATTTTTAGATTCCACAAATAATTGAGAATATGTGATGTTTGTCTTTTGTGCCTGGCATATGTCACTTAACATAATGACTTTCAATTCTATCCATATTGTTGCAAATGACAGGATCTCATTCTGTTGTATATAAGTGTCACACTTTCTTTATCCATTCATCTGTTGATGGTCACTGGCTGCTTCCAAACTTTGGCTAATGTGAACACTGCTGCAATTCACAAGGGAGTACACATGTCTTCAACATACTGATTTTTCTTTATTTTGGGTATATACTCAGCAGTGGGCTTGCTGAATCCTATGATATCTCTACTTTTAGTTTTTTGAAGAACCTTCATACTGTTCTCCACAGTGGTTACACTAATTTACATTCCCACCAAGACTGTAAGAGGGATCTCTTTTCTTTTTTTTTTTTTATTATACTTTAAGTTCTGGGTACACATGCAGATCGTGTGGGTTTGTTACATAAATATACAGGTTCCATAGTGGTTTGCTGCATCCATCCCCCCGTCATCTACATTAGGGACTTCTCCTAATGTTATCCCTCCTGTTGCTGCATCCATCCCCCCATCAACTATATCAGGTATTTTTCCTAATGTTATCCCTCCTGAATCCTCCCAACCCTTGCTAAGCCTCCCCTAGCCCCCACCCCTGGCAGGCCCCAGTGTGTGATGTTCCCCTCCCGGTGTCCATGTATTCTCATTGTTCGACATCCATATATGAGTGAGAACATGTGGTGTTTGGTTTTCCATTCTTCTGTCACTTTGCTGAGAATGATGGTTTCCAGCTTCATCCATGTCCCTGCAAAGGACATGAACTCATCCTCTTTTTTATGGCTGCATAGTATTCCATGGTGTATATGTGCCACATTTCCTTTAACCACTCTATCATTGATGGGCATTTGGGTTGGTTCCAAGTCTTTGCTATTGTAAATAGTGCCACAATAAACATATGTGCACATGTGTCTTTATAATTGAATGTGTTATAATCCTTTTGGTATATACCCAGTATTGGGATTGCTGGGTCAAATGGAATTTCTATTTCTAGATCCTTGAGGAATCGCCACACTGTCTTCCACAATGGTTTAACTAATTTACACTCCTACCAACAGTGTAACATCATTTCTATTTGTCCACATCCTCTCTGGCATCTATTGTCTCCATATTTGTTGATGATCACCATTCTAACTGGTGTGAGATGGTATCTCAATGTGGCTTTGATTTGCATTTCTCTAATGACCAGTGATGATGAGTTTTTTTTCATGTTTGTTGGCTGCATAAATGTCTTCTTTTGAGAAGTGTCTGTTCATATCCTTCACCCACTTTTTGATGGAGTTGCTTGCTTTTTTCTTGTAAATTCTTAAAATTTCTGGTAGATTCTGGTTATTAGCCCTTTGCGTGATGGGTAGATTGCAAAATTTTTTTCCCATTCTGTTGGTTGCCAATTCACTCTGATAATTGTTTCTTTTGCTGTGCAGAAGCTCTTAAGTTTAATTAGATCCCATTTGTCTATTTTGACTTTTGTTGCCATTGCTTTTGGTGTTTTAGTCATGAAGTCCTTGCCTATGTCTATGTCCTGAATGGTATCGCCTATGTTTTCTTCTAGGGTTTTTATGGTGTGAGGTCTTATGCTTAAATCTTTAATCTATCTGGAGTTAAATTTTGTATAAGGTTTCAGCTTTTTTCTGCATATGGCCAGCCAGTTTTTTCCAACACCATTTATTAAATAGGAAATCCTTTCCCCATTGCTTGTTTTTGTCACATTTGTCAAAGATCATGTTGTGGACTGACCGACAACCACTTTTAAAGAGTTTAAGAAGAAGTATAATTTGTATACCTAAAGTGTGGAGAAAATGCAGTCATACAAAATGTGCAAATAAAACCAGAGTGAAAGACAAAAACACAAATAACAAGATCAATAAAGAGAAAACAGTAGCAAAAATGATAAGTATATATCCACCTATATTAATAATCACTTAAAATGTCAATGATCTAAATATACCAGTTGTAATACAGAGACTATCAGAGTGGATTTAAAACATAAGATTCAATTATATGTTGTCAAACCCACAAAATGACAAAAATAAAGGTATGAAGAAAGATATACTATGCTAACACTCATAAAAGAAAGTTGGAGTAGTTATATTAAGTTCAGACAAAGGAGGCTTGATAGTAAAGAAAATTATCAGGGTAAGAGGAGCATTATATAATGATAAACAGGTTGATTTTTCAAGAAGACATAACAATTATGCTTAGCAAGTGAGCATCAAAATATGTAAAGCAAAAACTGACAGAACTTTAAGGAGAAATAGATGAATCCACTATTATTATTGCAGATTTCAACACCCGTCTATCAGTAGTTGACAGATCCAGCAAAGAGAAAATCTGCAAGGACACAGTTGAACTGAAGAGCATCATCAATCAACTGGATCTTAGTGACATTGATAGAGCATTCAACCAGCAACAAAACCATCCACATTCTTTTCAAACACACATGAAACAATCACCAAGGCAGACCACATTCTAGGATAAAATGCACATTAAAAATTAGACAGAAGAAAAAAAAAACTAAGATTTGATCAATAATTTCAGTAAAGTTTCAGGGCACTAAATTAATGTACACAAATCAGTAGCATTTCTATACAACAACAATGATGTAGCTAAGAACAAAATCAAGAAGGCAATTCCATTTATAACAGCTACAAAATGATAAAACATCTAGAAAAAAATATATTTATGTGGCTCCACTGAGATGGCCAAATAAGAACAGCTCCAGAGTGCAGTTTCCAGTGAAAGCGGTGCAGCGGGAGAGTGATCGCTGCATTTCCAACAGAGGTACCAGGTGCATCCCAATGGGACTGGTTGGACAGTGGGTGTAGCCCAAAGAGGGTGAGCCAAGGCAGGGTGGGGCACTGCCTCACCCAAGAAGTGCAGCAACTGGACGAACCCTCCTCCTACCCAATGGAGGCTATCATGGGCTTTTCCAGCCACTCCAGCACTCCGGTACAGATACTGCACCTCTTCCACAGTGTTTACAGCCCACAGACCAGGAGATTCCCACTGGCAGACAAGCACCGTGGGGTTCCATCACAAAAACCTGCAAAAATCTGGGCAGTCATTTTAACTGGTGCTTGGAACACCTGCGAGACAAAGCTACACATTTCCCTGAAAAACAGGAGGCTGAAGGCAGGGAGGCAGTGATCCGGTTTGACGAGTCCCACCCCCACAAAGACAAGCAATCTGAAATGTGGTGGCTTGAGAGTTTCACAGCCAGCTCAGCAGTTTGAACTCAACCTGGGACTGTGGAGCTCTGTGGGGAAAAGGGCATCCACTGTTACTGAGGCAGTCTGCCATTACCAAGGTGCTCCAGCATTACTGAGGCAATCCAACATTACTGAGGCAGTCCACCATTACTGAGGCCGTCTGCCATTACCAAGGCAGTTCTAACCTTACCTGTGTAAAAAAACTGCAAGGACATTTACACAGCACTAGACAAAGCCTGCAGCAGCAGCTCAGCAATGCCTCTGCAGGCAGACTCTGACTAGACTCCCTCCTTGCTGGGTAGGGCATCTATGAAAAAAGGCACTGGCACATCAGGGACTTGTAAATAAATCCCCACCTTCCCAGGACAGAGCACCTGGGAAAAGAGGTGGTTGTTAGTTCCACTGCAGCAGATTTAAATGTCTCTGCCTAGCAGCTCAGAATGGAACAACAGAGCTCCCAGCACAGCACTTGAGCTCTGACAAAGGACAGACATCCTCCTCAAGTGGCTTCCTGACCCCCATATATCCAAAGAGGCACCTCATAAAGGAGAGCTCTGGCTGAAATCTGGCAGGTACTCTTCTGGCACAAAGATACCAAAAGAAGGAACAGACAGCAACCCATACTGTTCTTCAGCCCCCGCCAGTGATTCCAAGGCAAGCAGGGTCTGGAGTGGACCTCCAGCAGTTCTGCAGCAGAGATCCCTGACTGTTAGAAAAAAAAAAATACCCAAAAAACAAAACAAAACAAAAAAATAGCTTCCACATCAAGAGAAAGGATGTCCACTCAGGGACCTCATCTGAAAGTCACCAGCTTCAAGACCAAAGATAGATAAATCCATGAAGAGGGAAATAAACCAATGAAGAAAGGATGAAATCACCAAAAACCAGAATACCTCTCCCCCTCCAAGGGATCACAACTCCTCACCAGCAAGGAAACAAAACTGGATTGAGAATGACTTTGATGAATTGACAGAAGCAGGCTTCAGAAGGTGGGTAATAACAAACTTCTTTAAGCTAAAGGAGCATGTTCTAACCCAATACAAAGAAACTAAAAACCTTAAAAAAATGTTAGAGGAAATGCTAACTAGAATAACCAGCTTACAGAAGAACATAAAGGACTTAATGGAGCTGAAAAATACAGCACAAGATCTTCGAGAAGCATACACAAATTTCAATAGCCGAATCAATCAAGGACAAGAAAGGATATCAGAGATTGAAGACCAACAAAATTATATAAAATAGAAGGCAAGATTAGAGAAAAAAGAGTAAAAAGAAATATAGGATTATGTGAAAAGACCTAATCTATGTTTGATCAGTGTACCTGAATATGACAGGGAAAGTAAATCCAAGCTGGAAAACACTCTTCAGGATCTTATCCAGGATAATGTCCCACCCTGGCAAGGCAGGCCAACATTCAAATTCAGGAAATACAGAGAAAACCACAAATATATTCCTCAAGAAAAGCAACCCCAAGGGACACAATTGTCAGATTCACTAGGGTTGAAATGAAGGAAAAATGCTACGGGCAGCCAGAGAGAAAGGTCAGGTTACCCACAAAGGGAAGCCCATCAGACTCACAGCAGATATCTCAGCAGAAACCCTACAGAAAAGAAGAGAGTGGGGGCCAATATTCAACATTCTAAAAGAAAAGAACTTTCAACCCCGTATTTCATATCCAGCCAAACTAAGCCTCACAAATGAAGGAGAAATAAAATACTTTACAAACAAGCAATTGCTGAGAGATTTCATCACCACCAGGCCTGCCTTGCAAGAGCTCCTGAAGGAAGCACTAAACATGAAAAAGAACAACCAGCCACTGCCAAAATGTACCAAATGGTAAAGACCAAAGATGCAATGAGGAAACTGTGTCAACTAACGGGCAAAACAACTAGCTATTATCAAAATGGCAGGATCAAATTCACACATAACAATATTAACCTTAAATGTAAATGGGCTAAATGCCCCAATCAAAAGACACAGGGAGCCATATTGGATAAAAAGCCAAGATCCATTGATGTGCTGTATTCAGGAAACCCATCTTATGTGCAATGATCCACATAGACTCAAAATAAAAGGATGGAGAAAGATTTACCAAGCAAATAGAGAGAGAGAGAAAAAAAAAGCCGGGGTTGCAATCCTAGTTTCTGATAAAATGAACTTTAAACCAACAAAGATCAAGAGAGACAAAGAAGGGCATTACATAATGGTAAAAGGATCAAGGCATCAAAAAGACTTAACTATCCTAAATATATATGCACCCAATACAGGAGCACCCAGATACATAAAGGAAGTTCTTAACAACCTACAAAGAGACTTAGACACCTGCACAATAACAGTGGGAGACTTTAACACTACACTGTCAATATTAGAAGATCAACGAGGCACAAAGTTGACAAGGAAATCCAGAACTTGAACTCAGATCTGAACCAAGTGGACCTAATAGACATCTACAGAACTCTCCACCCCAAATCCACAGAATATACATCCTTCTCAGCACCACATCCCACTTACTCTAAAACTGACCACATAAATGAAACGTGACCGTTCCTCAGCAAATGCAAAAGAACAAAAGTCATAACAATCAGTCTGTCAGACAACAGTGATATCAAATTAGAACTCAGGATTAAGAAACTCACTCAAAACTTCACAACTATGTGGAAACTGAGCAACATGCTCCTGAATGATTACTGAATAAATAATGAAATGAAGGCAGAAATAAAAATGTTGTTGGAAACCAATGAGAATGAAGACACAACATACCAGAATCTCTGGGAAATGGTTAAAGCAGTGTCTACAAGGAAATTTATAGCACTAAATGCACATACAAGAAAGAAGGAAATATCTAAAATTGACACCCGATTGTCAAAATTAAAAGAGCTAGAGGAGCAAGATCAAACAAATTCAAAGGCTAGGAGAAGACAAAAAAATAAGGTCAGAGCAGAACTCAAAAAGATAAAGACACAAAAAACTCTTCCAAAAATCAATAAATCTATCAGCTACTTTTTTGAAAAGATCAACAAAATTGACCATTAGCCAGACTAACAAAAAAGAAAAGAGAGAAGAATTGAATACATGCAATAAAAAATGATAAAGGGGATATCAACACTGATTCCACAGAAATACAAACTACTATCAGAGATTACTACAAACAACTCTTTACACATAAACCAGTAAATCCAGAAGAAATGGATAAATTCCTGTACACTTACAATCTCCCAAGACTAAACCAGAAAGAAGTTGAATCCCTGACTAGACCAACAACAAGATCTGAAGTAGAGGCAGTAGTAGCCTACCAACTAAAAAAATTCCAGGTCCAGAAAGGTTCATAGCTGAATTCTACCAAATGTACAAAGAGGAGCTGGTACCATTCCTTCTGCAATTCTACCAAACAATACAAAAAGAGGGAGTCTCTCTAACTCATTTTATGAGACCAACATTATCATGATACAAAAACCTGGCAGAGACACAACCCAAAAAGAAAATTCTGGCCAATATCCATGAGGAACATCAATGCAAAAATCTTCAATAAAATACTGGGAAACTGAATGCAACAGCACATCGAAAAGCTTAGCCATCTCAATCAAGTAGGTTTCAACCCGGGGATGCAAGGCTGGTTCAACATATTCAAATCTATAAATGTAATCCATCACATAAACAGAATCTAAGAGAAAAACAACGTGATTATATCAATAGATGCAGAGAAGGCCTTTGACAAAATTCAACAGCCCTTTAAGCTACAAACTCTCAATAAACTAGGTATCAATGGAATATAACTCAAAATAATGAAAGCTATTTATGACAAATCCACAGCCAATATCTTATTAAATGGGCAAAAACTGGAGGCATTCTTTTTGAAAACTGGCAATAGACAAGGGTAACCTCTTTCACAATTCCTATTCAATGTAGTATTGGAAGTTCTAGCCAGAGCATCAGGCAAGAAAAAGATATAAAGGGTATTCAATTAGGAAAGGAAGAAGTCAAATTGTCTCTATTTTCAGATGACACGGCTGTATATTTAGAAGACCCCATTGTCTCAACCCAAAATCTTAAGATGATTAGCAACTTCAGCAAAATCTCAGGATACAAAATTAATGTGCAAAAATTACAAGCATTCCTATACACCAGTAACAGACAAACAGTCAAATCATGAGCAAAATCCCATTCACAATTGCTACAGAGAGAATAAAATACCTAGGAATACAACAAAGGACATGAAGGACCTCTTCAAGAGAACTACAAACCACTACTCAAGGAAATAAAGGAGGACACAAACAAATGAAACACCATTCCATGCTCATGGTTAGGAAGAACCAATATCGTGAAAATGGCCATATTGCTCAAAGTAACTTATGGATTTAATGCTATCCCCATCAAACTGCTATTGACCTTCTCCGCAGAACTGGAAAAAAACATGTTAAACTTCATATAAAACCAAAAAGGAGGCCATAGAGTCAAGCAATCCTGAGCAAAAAGAACAAAGCTGGAGGCATCACACTACCTGACTTCAAACTATATTACAAGGCTACCGTAATCAAAACCACATGGTACTGGTACCAAAATAGAGATGTAGACCAATGGAAAAAACAGAGGCCTCAGAACTAATGCCACACATCTACAACCATCTGATCTTTGACGAAGCTGGCAAAACAAGCAATGGGGAAAGGATTCCCTATTTAATAAATGGTGTTGGGAAAATTGGCTAGCCATATGCAGAAAGCTGAAACTGGACCCCTTCCTTAGACCTTATACAAAAATTAACTTCAGATGGATTAAAGATTTAAACACCATAAAAACCTAAAAGAAAACCTAGGCAATAACACTCAGGACATAGGCATCGGCAAGGACTAGATGACTAAAACACCAAAAACAATGGCAACAAAAGCCAAAATAGACAAATGGGATCTAATTAAACTTAAGAGCTTCTGCACAGCAAAAGAAACAATTATCAGAGTGAACTGGCAACCAACAGAATGGGAAAAATTTTTGCAATCTACCCATCTGGCAAAGGGCTATTAACCAGTATCTACAAAGAATTGAAATAAACTTACAAGAAACAAACAACCCCATCAAAAAGTGGGAAAAGAATATGAACAGACACTTTTCAAAAGAAGACATTTATGCAGCCAACAAACATGAAAAAATGCTCATCATAATTGGTCATTAGAGAAATGCAAATCAAAGCCACATTGAGATACCATCTCATGCCAGCTAGAATGGTGATAATTTAAAAATCTGGAGACAACAGATGCTGGAGAGGATGTGAAGAAATAGGAATGCTGTTACACTTTTGATGGGAGTGTAAATTAGTTCAACCATTGTGGAAGACAGTGTGGTGAGTCCTCAAGGATCTATAAATAGAAATACCATTTAACCCAGCAATCCCATTTTTGAGTATACACCAAAGGATTATAAAACATTCAATTATGAAGACATATGCACACATATGTTCATTGTGGCACTGTTTACAATAGCAAGGACTTGGAACTAACCTAAATGCCTATCAAAGATAGGCTGGATAAAGAGAGTGTGACACATACATACCATGGAATACTATGCAGCCATAAAAAAGGACGAGTTCATGTCCTTTGCAGGGACATGGATGACATTGAAAATCATCATTCTTAGTAAAGTGACAGAAGAACAGAAAACCAAACACCACGTTTTCACTCATAAGTGGATGTTGAACAATGAGAACACATGGACACAGGGAGGGGAACATCACACACTGGGGCCTGTCAGAGGTGGGGGGGATAGAGGAGGAATAGCAGGGTGGAGGGAGGGATTCAGGAGGGATAACATTAGGAGAAATACCCAACGTAGATGACATGGGGATGGGTGCACCAAACCACCATGGCACGTGTATATCTATGTAACGAACCTGCACAATCTGCACATGTACCACAGGACTTAAAGTATAATAAAAAACAAAAAATAAAAAAAAAGTGGGTAAAAGATATGAATAGACATTTCTTAAAAGAAGATATGCAATGACATAGGTATCCATCGACAGATGAATGCATTAAAAAATGTGGTAAATATACACAATAGAGTATTATTCAGTCATAACAAAGAATGAGATGCTGTCATTTGCAACAACATGGATAGAACTGGAGATCATTATGTTAAGTGAAATAAGCCAGGCATAAAAAGCCAAAATTTGAATGTTGTCATTCATTTGTGGGAGCTAAAAATTAAACCAACTGAACAAATGGAGTTAGAGATTATAATGATTATCAGAAACTGGGAAGAATTTTGGGTGGTGGGAGGTGCAGATGAGAAGGGTTAATGGGTACAAAAAATATGTTAGAAAGAATAAATAAAATATAGTATTTGATAGTAAAACAGGGTGACCATAGTTAATAATTTAATTGTACAGTTTAAGATAACTAAAAAAGGATAATTGGATGATTTGTAACACAAACGATGAATATATTGTATGTTGGATACACCACTTACCTTGATGTGATTATTACACATTGTATGCCTTCATCAAAGTATCTCATATACCCTGTAAGTATATACACTTACTATGTACTTAGAGAAAACAATTTTTTTAAATTAGACATGCAAATAGCCAACAGTCATATAAAAAATACTCAACATCACTAGTCATCAGAAAAATCCAAATTAAAACCACAAGGAGATAGCATGTTACACCAGTTAGAATGACTATTAATAAAAAGACAAAAAATAACAGATGTTAGCGAGGATGCAGAGAAAAGGAAAGGCTTATACATTTTTCTTGGGAATGTGAATTATTACAACCTCTATGGAAAACAGTATGGAGATGTTGCAAAGAAAAAGAACTATCAGGATCCAATAATCTCATTACTGGGTAATTACCAAAAGAAAAAAAAATATCAAAAAGATATTTGCATCCATATGTTTTTCACATCATTATTCATGATAGAGAAGATATGGAATCAATCTAACTGTCCATTAACAGATTCCTAGTTAAAAAAAACATTGTGGCATATATACACAATGGAATAATAGCCGCAAAAGAATGTAATCATGTCTTTTACAGCAACATGAAGCTGGAGGCCATTATATTCAGGGAAACAATTCAGACATAGAAAATCAAATACCACATGTTTTCACTTATAAATGGGAGTTAAATAATATATGCATATAAACTTAGATGGGATGGTTGACAATGAAGATGCAAAAAGGTGAAGGACTGGGAGGGGTGGATGATCAGAAAATTATTTAATGGATACAATGTACATTATTCAGATGATGGTTTCTCTAAAAGCCCTGACTTCACAAATACGCAATTTATGCATGTAACAACATTACACTAGTATCTCATAAATTTATACAAATAAAACTAATTGAAATACAGATCAATGTATGCATTTAGACCACAGCTGAATTAAACTAGAAATTAATAACAGAAACATAGATAGAGAAATCTCAAAATATAACAATATTAAACAACAAATTTCTAAATAATACATGGACATGGGCTGAAGAAGAAGTCTCA